AAGAACGGAACAGCCGCCGCCTCGCCCGACGGTGCGCCTCTGCCAATGCCGGGCGCGATCGCCCATGGGAGAACCTCTGGCAGGACGCATCGGGAAATGGAGCGGCGTTGATTTTTTAATTTTTTAAAATCTGGCTCCGGTTTTCGGGGACTGCAGCCCACTTCCTCGTTGGCAACTGATCGATCAAGGCAACCAGTGTCGTGGGCTGGAGACCACGAAAGTTTTAAGCCAAGGGAAATGAGGTGCCGCAGCCTCCCTTCTGTTGCTTTATTCGCAAACGGGCTACTTCGAGAAAAGCGCACCCGGGGGGTCGTCTCAGAGACCAGGCGCTCTGCTTCTAAAAGCCCAATGAGTGACACATCGGATGACTGATGGCAGAAGAGGGTGGCGCGGCATGGGGTTTTCTTTTCGTGTTTTAAATGCACGTTTAAAACAAAACAAAAAGGAAGCACAGGAAAACGACCTTCTGGGTAGGAGGGGGGAAAGCCATTCAAAGAGTGTATAGAATTGGCCGAATCTATAGGAAACCTTGACATCTGAGCGGTCAGCCTGGAGGCAGGCGGTGCATTATGGCTTCTTCCAATTTGAAGAGGCACTTGTTCAGCAGGCCGAGGCAAAGAGCCAGTCCCGAAACCAGCAAAATCAGGGAGCTGGACAGGGGACAGATTGTATTTGTCCTCAGTGTGGAAGGGATTGTCATTCTCGAATTGGTCTTCTCAGCTACACTAGACGCTGTTCCAAGTCTTCCATACAGAGCACGTTACCATAGTCTCTCGAGGATGCCTTTTCTGTGTGTGGCAACCTTGCCCGACTATAATAAAATGTTGATAAGGTTTAACTTATCCGTCTAATTTATTCGTGAAAGGAAATCTTTAATGACCATGGTGCGCTCCGCTGAGTTCGACCATAACAAGTCTTTTCAGCTTTTTCTTTTTCTTTCTTTTTTTTGTTAAAATATCTTTCAAAAATCTTTTTTTGGGAATGGAATATATATATATAGAAACTTCTATAAATAAAGAAGAAAAACACTAGTCTAAACTGCTAACGTGCCCACATAAAAAACGGGGCGAGAATGGGATTGCCTAGTTAATAACAATTTCCTCAAAATAAACTCTAAAAACATTTAAAGTAGGGGAGGAGAGAATGCCACTACATATTTTAACCCACTGCGCAGCCCTATACACTAAACTTAATGAGTTCACCCACAGAGGGGAAAAATGTATGTTGGATTGGGGCCCCAATGCAAGGGGACTTAGTCCCCAGGAAGTACTGAATAATGTGGGGTTTACTTTACAATAGCTGTTGAAAATTACCAAAGTGATTCAAACTGTTAAACTACTACAGAGATTCAGAGAAATCTAGTGGAAGAGTGATGGGAATCTTCCTAGAGGGAAAAAACGGTCCCAAGAATTAAGAAAATAGCTACAAAAGCTTTCTTTGATAAAGGAAATAGACCGGAAAAATGATCTAGTCAGTGTCTCCTGAACAGCTCGATCCTGCCCAGAAGTAAAAGACATTACGCAGTTCAATCGTCTGACATGAGAAATGAAAGAAAATACAGTATTAAAAACCCAGCCCGCCTTCCCACAACCTTTCCTTGAAAGACTGTCTTCCTTTCCCACGAGATGTATTGGGCTCCTGTCTCACAAGGAGAACTAGATTCTACGGAAACATCTGAACGGGAAAATGTTAGAATGATGATGTTTGTTTGGTGTTTTTTTATGCGTGATGGGATTCAATCAAAATTAAAGCACACAAATATGCCTCCTGGCTTAAAACGGGGTAGTGGAGTATAGAAACAAATTATCTTTGGCTGAATCAGTTCCTCAAATTAATGCACTCCCCAATCCCTTTGTTCCTGCCTTCCGCAGGGAAGCTGGGCTAGAAAGCCGACCGAAATAGGAATATCTGGTTCCTAGTGATGTTGGAGAAAGATACACGTGTACTTTTTAAAGGGGCGGGGAAGAAAATCCGTTCAAAAGCCATGGCCATAAACAACCCAGCATCTACATGGACGAATCACTCAGAAAGCTCGATCGTGGAGACATCGGCGAGACAGGAGCAGGATGTCCTAAAATTAAAACTCTCTCCCTCCCCCCCCCCCAATTTCTGTTCGTACCCCGCCTTCCAAAAATCAGCTCCAAGCCTCAATGGCGGACGAGTAAACCGTTAAGGAGAAGAGCTCCGATTGCTTCCATCTTGATTGCATTATACTGTAGTTAGTTTTCCTAATTAGCACCTACATCGCCGCCGCCTCCGCCAGCCTTTATACCTCGGGGTTTCGAGCAGAGATCGGCTTCCTGCTGGAAGCAGCGCGTCGTGGCTACAGCCTCCCGGCCAGGATGCTGATCCCGGGCGGTCGGTGGTCTTAAGAGGGTCTTCTTGCCCAGCTAGACAGCTATCTATCTATACAAGAAACCATCAGCCCACTCTTGTACATTTTAAGTCCGTCTGGTGACCTGTGTGTGTTTTCTTTATAAACCAACTAGGGCGCTTTTGATGTGGTCTCACTCGGACCAAGTGCGGGACCTCAGATGTGGTCCAGCGATTCTTTCTGGAAATATTTTTAATTATGCCCCACAGCTCTTTCTCTCTGTGTGTAGCTCCAATGTATTAATCAAGAGAGCACTTTTGGAGTCGGTTACTTAATGCGGGGGAGGAAGAGGAAGAAGCATCGCGCAGGCGAAATTGCCCTCCAAGGATCTTTTAATTCTGCAGTTGAGTCCGTTTTCAAAGGAAGTCCTCCTCTCCCTGAACAGACCAGGAGGGGCTGCTTAGAAAGCTCTTGCCAAGCGGGGCTTTGGAAGGCTGCGATCCCACCTCTGGAAGTCATAAGCGTTGGGCTCAATAGGATGCACTTGCAAGAGGAAACGTTTCGATGGTTCTATAGAGCCAAATATTTAGGAGCAAGCTTGCGGAACTATGTGGCCCTCCAGAAATTGTGGAACTCCAGTTTCCATCCGCTCCAGCCAGCAAGGCCAGTCATTAAGGACGGTGGGAAGAGGAGGCCAACATCTAAAGGATCACCGCCTCCCACTCCGATTTTAAACGTCATTTCTCCCTCCTCCCCACCAAACAGGCATGCTTATCCTAAACGTGTTCACGTGCAAGTTGACTCTTGATAATTCCAAGGCTTTATTTTTTTATTTTTTATTTTTATTTGATTTATATCCCTCCCATCTGGTATATTCTACCACTTTGGGCGGCTCCCACCTTAGCATGCTAGGTGGATCCTAAACTAAAAGCACCGGCTTTTTTTGGGGGGGGGGTTTCCTTACATCGAACAGGTGAGCTCAGCCCAGCATCTAGGTAAGGACTCCGGTAACCCGAGGAAGGCAAGCCCACAGGGATTTACCTGTGAGAAGACACGCGAGCCAACAAACTCCTGGGACCGAAAGCTACGACGCAAACCTACTAAGGGAACCGTAAATCTAACCGAATTTATTAGGATTTACTTCAGGTCAGGATTATGATTGGCTACCCAAGTCCCATAGAAATCGCACAGAAGGACTCTTTTCCTTCTCTTCAGGCCTGGGATGTCCTTCATTTAAACGAGTCCGGAATCCTTTCCCTCCCCTAAGTTTCTGAAAGCGGGGTGCCTTCCGCAAGAGATGGACGGTCGCTCCCATCATTGCTCGCCGTTGTCGCTCGACTCCTCCGCAGGGCGCCAGGCGAGGGGAGGCGTTGACGTGCTCGCAGCCGGGGCCCTTTCAGACACGAGAGGAAGGATGCTTGTTGTTTTTAATCGGGAGCGGAGAGAAGACCTCCTCCCCATCGCCCTGCTTCCAGCTGACGATGGAGAAGTGTTGATTTAACTAGCTCGGCTCCGGGTGTTCCTCTCCGCTCTTCCCCCAGGGAGCGACGCAGTCCCGCAAGGATTCCCGCCCGGAGGTGTTGTGCCGGAGCCTCGGGGCGTCCCCTTCGCCCGCCCCCCCCCGCCCGGACAGATTTCCTCGGGGCGCGAATAGGAGGACCCGCAGCGTGCCGAGAAAGGAAGGCATGGCGGCCGAGGGGGGGGGAGGGGCGGGGACCGATCAGGCAAAAT